CATAGGTCTCATACCAACCGAAATTATTGACTACCTCAGTACCCAACAATTAAAGTGGACAACAAAATGACCTATGTCCCTTTGATATTTCATTCATTCCTCTTAAGAAAGACATTTCTAGTAATTCAAATATAAAGTGAAAAAAATTGTTTGACCTACAACGCTTAGATATGCTAGAAAGTTCGACTAACATGATACAGTATCAAGTTCAAATTTTATGCGTTACCAAATTTACGTTCTAGATTTCACTTTAACCAATTTGACCTTACGTGCGGAATTAATCTAACTAAGGCAACAAGTCACTTTAATTAGTTGTCTAGGTGATTAATCATACAAGTCAATTAACCTATGTTGGAATGTCGCAGTTTGTATATTATGCAAAGCAGTAAATAACAAACAATATGATGACGGAGAAACCCCAACGTGGGTAAAACTCCGAGACCAAGCCAATTACCTCCACTATACCAATTCAGCAAGTACAACCCGCTGTTTCAGTCTCACGATCTACTGCTGTAGATACTTCTAGCCTCTTGCTAGATTTCCTGATCTACCTCCTGCAGCCCAATCTACTGTCCACTATAACCTCTTGGTCTTTAACTAATTGTATCACCAAGTGGAACAACAAGAACCGTCCGTTATTGTGCTTGTAACTGCGCCTCAATCCACCTCTCTCAATCCTCTAATGAGAGAGTCCCTTTCCCAATAGATTAAGGAAGCAATGCGTTTTGGGTTATGTAGATTCGATGTTTTTCCCCCAAAACAATTGTTGCCAGATCAAAAGAATTATGTTGATGAATTGTCCAATTGATTTTGCCTTAGATCTCTTGAACAAAGATATGAAGATGTTATGCACTCAAAGAATAATGTGGCAACCTGTAAAATTTCGTCCTAGGATTTGAGTATTTATACTTGAAGGTGTCCAGGTGATATGGGCCGAGTAAAACACTTCAAAAATGCGAAATAGGATTTTTGCCGCATAAGAGTGTCGCTCGAGCGAGAGCCAACGAGAATGGAGCGAGAGGTATTCTGTTTTTGTCGCTCGAGCGAAATGCCAGCGAGAAGCGAGCGACAGTGAGCAGTCATTGGTATTTTCATCATAACTTTCTCGTTCGATGTCCGATTGAGGTGATTCAAGTTGCATTGGAAAGATAACTCAAAGGGCTACAATTCTTCTAGAAATAGCATTGTCCAAATTCCAACATTTTCTATGTGAAAAATACGTTTCAAGTTATGACTGAAAATCCGGAGCATAATTTGTGCGGCTCTTTGATATCCTTTAGACTTCCAATTACATTTCAATGATCTTATGTGATCTTCTTGGATATCTTGGACTCCTTCAACGACTCGAACACTAATTTACCTCATCTATACAAATTGCACCCTAAGTCCCTGATTTTTACACCAATGTTCAATTAAGTCCCTGACTTTTACAATTATAAAATTTAGTCCGTTTTGTCCACAGAATCGCCAATTAAACTTTTAGACCTAACATAAAGGAAGACAGTTGCTTCCTTTTTTTCAATAGTTACGGCTAGTATGAGCTAGTCAACATATGCGGCTTTTAATTGTTGCACTATATAACTGTAAGAAAATCAATAAAAGTCTCTAAATAAGCTGTCCCATAAAGGGGGGCTTAATGAATTATTCTACTGTCAAAATAATTCAATCTGTTACTTAATACGAAATTAAAAAATAATACTAACAAACATGCTTATAACTTATGAAGCTGTGAATTGTTGTCAACTTACAGTCACCCATCTTCTAGCTAAATGATTCATTTTTTCTGTTTCAGAGTTCAGATAACGAGGAATCGAGCTGTGATGATGAAGATTATGAAGTTGGACGGCGAAATAACATTGAAATACGACACCAATAGAGTTCTTTTACTTTTGTGGTTTGACTTGTAGTATCACGCATTGATCGAATGCCGTATTCATGGTTCTTTCATTCTACTCATGTAAATGTGAAAGTACAGAAGTTTAGCAGAGAGAATTGGGCAAAACAGGGGGGAAAAATAAAAAAAAATAAAAAATCCTACATTATCCCAAAAAATGTGCACTAAAGCAATGACCATGCGCTCCGTAGGATAATATCAAACCCAATTAGCTGGAAAGTTCATAAAGTTTTGGACGAAAAAACAATGTTAAAATCAAACACTAAGGCATCGTCTGATAGGCACCAAATTTCTAGGGAAAATAGAATTAGAATGTCAATTTTCAATTTGTGTGTGTTTGATAGTGTTATATTTTCCATGGAAATTAAGTTCTTGGATTTCTTGGGAGTTGTAGCTTTCTAGCTTTTGTGGGATATGGTGGGAATTGATTTTTCAAGTAGTTGACTTTTTTTTTTATTGTAATGGAAACAAATTCTAAGAATTATTGTAAAAAAATATTTTCCTTTAATTGACAATTTTCATGTAAAATAAAGTCAAATGAACATTAAAAGATAGATGATTCTTTTGAATTTTTTTTTTTTTGGGGCAATGGAAACAAATTTCATCCATAATACCAATAAATTTCATCCCTTAAATTAACAATTTTTATGTAAAACAAAGTCAAACAGACACAATTACACTTTTATTTCGACATTTTTTACAGGAAAAATTAATCAATTAAACACAATAATTTATGATTTTCAAGAAAACAATTTTTAGACAATTTAATTCCCTAAAATTCGTTTTTCTTTCCACCCAAATTTTATCTTTACAATCAGACGGATCTAATTGTAAATCTCTTTTCTCGAAATACTGAAAGTTGTCAGTTCGGGCGACATTGAAAATGACTAAAACCGCCCAATCAGATGTTCAGGAGAATTTCGCTAAAGCAAGTCCCAAAATTTTTGGTGAATAGATGAGAAGTGTACCGTGACGGACATGTGGCCACTTTATTTATCAACCTCAGCTGCAGTATATTTACAATGCAGTTCGGGGTAGTGCCTATCCATACTGGATAAATAAAGGAGAAAAGATTAGAGAACATGTGGCAAAGCCTATCAATCAAAAGTGTACCGTCAAATTGAAGAAATAATTGATTAGTGTGGTTTCTGCACTTATTCGAGGTCTTAAAATGGTATTTTACTATTATTTGGATACTATACTATATAACTTATGTTATATTACATTTTATAGGTAAAACTCGATGTTTAATGAGGAATTGGAGAAAAGAATGCAAAAATAGTGGAAATCTGAAATTTGAGGACTAAACTACAAATAATCCATAAATGAGATGGACGATGAAATGAAGATCAAAGATGTCAAGGATTTAAGTTAATATAATTGGAAGATAAAGGAATATGATTACAAGAGAAAGGGGCTAAAATGATGCAAATTCAAAGTTTGGGGGATTAAAGTGCAAATTCTCAAAACTTGTATCGAACCTTATGATGAAGATTAGAGAGTGTTAAAGGCAATCGGATGAAGAAAGAAGTCAAAGGGATGAAATATAATCAAAATATATCAACTTTTAGACCGAAAAACAAGGTTATGCTTCGAATTTCAATTTTAGTTTGAGACTCATTTTTTGCATAGCAAATATTTAAATTGAAAAAATGATATCCCTGAAAGAATTATAACCATTTGAGTTAACTTTCCATGTACTTTGATTCATTTCAATCGAATATCGAGAGAGAAATATATGATCAAAATACTGAATGCTGTCCAACGGGAAAAAGTTATACATATGCGGTCGAATAGGTTTAATGAGATGCGATTGCATCCGTTCCCCCAACTATGATTTTTTCTATGCGACTACTTCCATTTGTACTATCCTTTAAATATCATAATTCGTCTAGACTACGGGGAGACCTCCCTAGACCTAAAAATTCATAAATTCAACATATTTTGGAGGCAAAGAGCAAGACAGATCATCAACATTAAGGAAATTATGCAAGATTCTTGAAAATTATCCATTCAAAATCAAGATTTCATTTAAGAAAGTACCTTTTTCCATATTTCTTCAATCAGGATGATATTTTTTCATTATTTCTTGTATAATTAAATTATTTCTTGTATAATTAAATAATTATGATGGTTGGTTAGATTTTTCCTTTGTATTGGATATATGATGAACCCTATTGTTTGTATTATTTTAATTCAAGAAAAATAATTTAGTATTTCTTGAGTGGTGTTGCATTCTCATTGAACTATATGATTTATTGATCACCAATTAAATAGTGAGATGCTCGCTGTAGTGTATGAGTACTTACAATAAATCTAGAACGAGACAAAATCAACACATAAGCAATAATTACTAAAAATAATATTCACGACATGTACAATCATGTGAGATAAACCCTGTGAATCAATGTATGTTTTTCATATGAATTCGGATTCGGATTAGGATTAGGATTGAATTGTATTAAAAATAGCTTTAATATATCTTGAAAAAAAATATTGAATAAAAATGGATTATCGATTGTCTTGAATACATAAATTTACTAGATTACAAATTAAAAATTGAAATAAATGATAATAAGGGAATTCAATATCCCACTACAAACATTCATATAGATTTACTCACTTTTATTGATTTTTTAGAGTAGAATTAAAATAAATAAGAAGCGCATCACAACTCTTTTGATGTCACAATACTTCAAATTTAATAGTAATTATGAAACTACAAATTAAACATTATTCATCGTGAGAACGATACCCTTAATTCACAAATCTTATTACTTGTACAACGATCTTGTACACTTGCGAAATTTCTGCAAACAATAATCAATTAAGCAAACGCCACAATAAAGAGAATAATTACACATAAAAACAAAGGTAATATTAGAACTCCAGAAAGCGCAAATAGCTTCAATGATTAAGTAAAACATCAAATTATAGCACTAACAAAACGTATATATCTTCCAAATGGTTCATCATCTATTGCTGAATGGAAGCCAAATTGCATTTCTTCGTATGAACGGTCAATATACAGTCTTGACTGCTCTTTAACGGAAATAATATTTCCAATTACAACACGTTAAGACTATGTAACAACAACGAACAATGTCGGCAAATCCTAGTGGTGCAAAGCCGCACATTGGTTACTCTTCACAAACAAGCATCCACCAATTTATTCCTAGTCCTCTCTTTCTCATAACAACAAAGAGAATCTCACTGAACCTTACGGGAAAATTGCACAAGATCGACCAGAAATACTTGAACAGGAATGTCACCATGAAAGAAGGAAACCGAGGCACGATGGGTGAAGCTTCAGAAAACTATTATTTTCGACAAGATTGCTTTTCAGCTCAAGGTCCATTATAAAATATAACCATGAATTATTGATGCTTAAGAAGAAATTTGATCCAAATAAAATATAACATTGAAAAGTAAGAAAACTGACCTATCTGATCAAGAAACTGGGCTCTGTTCTGAATTCTTTGCTAACTTTGCTTGTACAAGTTTGTCCAATATGGGAGGTTCTAAAGGAATTGGATCTAAACAACGCTCTGCAGTGGCAACGATCACCTGCTCAATAAAAGTACATTAACACTTTCTCATTCTGCAGGGGAACTACAAGATAAAAATCTCAAGAATTGTTGTTTAGTGAAATATCTGGCCAAATCAATTAAGAAAAGATTCCAATAAATGCCCTTGTCATTTAGCTAAAAACTTCTACGAGAATTTACATAGGATTTGGAGAATGAATGCATGTTTCGTTGGTGATTATTTAACGATCACTTCTGGTCAAACATATTTTATATCCACACATTTTGTAGGACTCATAACTACTCCCCACTTATTATCCATAGATTCCATAGGACCCAAAACTTATTATCACTTAAATTATAATGCAATCACTTGTACAAACATGCACTTAGTTGGCAGGTCTTCCATTAAAAGAATAGTCAGAAAAATCCTATTTCAACTTGAACACCGCTTACCTCATCAAGCAAGAAATCTACAGCAGCTTCATCCTCAGCAATCCCCTTTAATGCAGTCTTTAGAAACTGGATATCCAACTGAATTTGTTGGAACCCACTTCGATTGAATGTCTGGAGTCTGACAAATTCATGCAAACTCTTCAAAGAAAGTTTCACAATAGTTGTTAAAACAGATCCCTGCAATTGAAAACAACTCATTATCTATTGTCATAATACGAACAAATAGTACTTCACAATGATCAGAAGTTCCTAAACCTGTGTGTGTTCAACTTTAGTAAAAATTTCCATCTTTTGCTTGAATAATTTTGCAAGATGGGTCTCCAGAAGCTGGCTTCTAGCCTTTTGGGTATTTGATCGGCCAAGTCTATCGTAAGGATTGCTGCGCGAGGAAGTGGTGCTTCCATTGCTGTCGGTGCGACGATGCTTGTGATGAAGGCCTTGCGGCAAAATCTGTTTTACCTCGGTTCCTATTGCTTCCAACTATATAACGAGGCAGACCAAAACTTTAATAATTTAACAACATAATTATGGTGACAAAGTAGAACAATAAAAAAAACACGACGACAAAATTACCTCTTGAAGAAGGAGATCGACAAACATATGTACTTCTCTGGGTTCTTTGTGCTATAAAAGAAGTGGTTAAAATATGATAAACTGTAAGACTTTGCTAGAACTGAAGCTTTTTGCAACGAATTGAAAATTTGAATAATACTGACCTTGACCCAATTTGGGGCTGTAAACCTCTTCTTCAAGACAACTGATATTTTTTGAGTTCTCATCTTTATATACTGAAAGGAATAAAATGATGAAAATAAGTAATGAAGATAAAAGAAGGCAAGAAGTCATTCATAAGGTGTCCACACTATGCCAAACATTCTTTTACTTGAGTTTGAATTGGTATTTAACTCTTGAAACAATGATCACATTATTTGTCAAGCACCAGTACAACTTTGCGCTGAAATAATCACATTTTTTTGTCAAGACAATGTGCACTGAAATACCATTTTGCATAAATAGAGATTTACTGTTGGACTGCTCTTCAGATGGCAGCCTAAAGTGCACATACAGATCAAATTTTACTTTAATGTGCCTATAGAAGTTCGTGTTCTTCAAAATCAGAAGTGAAGTCATGCATAACTATGTCCCTTTCAAAAGGCTTGATGAATCAATAACAGAGAACAAGAAATGACAAAATGATACGGAGACCGGTTAAAATAAAGAATTCCAGGATGACGAGATCATGAAATGAAGAGACAGGAGACCATTAAACATTATGAAGAAAATGACAGAAAAAGAGGCAAGGAACAATGAATTGGCGAAAGATTGCCCTCAAATAAATTTTGGCCGTCAGTTTATGGGATATCCTTAGCTTGAATTTTATTTTGCAGGTCGGAATCTTCAATCTTTGTTGCTTAATCTAACGATAGCACAGAAAACTCATGCTGACGCAACATTTTGTTAAAATTTTCAACATGGATAGCCCCTTGACTTGCATATCCACCCTGAACTCCAGTTCACTGAAATCTTTGCATTTCTAAAATGACAAAAATGAAAATGCAACTACTTGGTGAATAGAGAACTTTTGCTATATCTTAACAAATACGGAATGTAGTACGGTTTTTCTATAAGGAATGACATGCTTTCAGCCGTTGCGTAGAACAGGCAAATGGGTGCTGCAACATTATAATCAACAATACTAATAATAACTTGTTTATAATTGTGGTGTATGAGCTTGTCTACAAATATAACTTCAACACCAGGTGATGAAATGTAATTATTGAGCAGGGAAAGAAACCAATCTAGCATGCTTACAAGATCTAAGAATTTTTCACCAGCTGAACGAAAGGTGCGACAAGTTTCTGCAGGAACAAAAGCTGGACCATATTCAAAGCCCCGAGTCCCACCACCAGAAAAAGAAGATGCTATTTCCTGGAGAATTAAAGACATTGTCAATTCAAGACCTCCGAACCCAAGAAAGAAATGTGGTTGTGCCAATATGCGTGAAGAGAGAGAGAGGAAAAAATAAAAAAGAAAATAGTTTGGATCTGATTGCTTGCCTCAGTAATTCTGGGGATGGCAATTTGTTCGATAAAAAGAGATAATTGAGCCAGCACAAGTACAAGTCCAGCACGTACTTTGTCACCTGCTATACTCCCCGGAATATTTAAATTTTGACTTGCTGAATTACTCTTGCCAGAAAGCAAGACAAAATGATCGTCAAGCGCCCAAAAGAAATTTTGAAACCCTTCTTGTACCCAGTCAATTATCAAGTCTCTCAACTTTAGTACCAAATCTGAGTTTTCATCAAGAAGCTGGCGGAAATTCTGTAACTCAAAAATAAAAGTTACTGGAAAATGAGGAAGCAAGAAAACTAAAATGACTGGAATTAAGCCTTTTAACATGTTCTATAATGTACTGCATTAATCAACATATTAGGCTAAATAAATATTGAAGTTCAATGAAATATCAACTGGTCCTACATAAGAGTAGTTAATTGGTGCCTTTCACAAGTAGCAAAGGCACATCAAGTATAAGACTAAATGTCATACCCATTCCATAGCAATATTTTCATGGCCAGTGGGGCCTTTTCTTTACCACCCTATATTATGTACTTCATGAGTTTGATTAGAAAATAACAGGAGTTTGAAATACCAGAATATATTTCATTTGGAAAGGAAAAAGAAACTGGTTTTTTATTACACGATTTCACCTGCAACTGAAAAACGAAGTCAGCCCCATACTTCGCACGCACTTCCCCATCCCAAAAAAAGGAGTTCACAGGATCTCGAGAAAAGAGAGAGAAAAAACTTCTTTTTTTTTTTTTTGGGGGACAAATGAGAATTTCAGTAGGTACTGAAGAAGATAAGATTCACAAGATAAAGTAAGTTTCAGCAGTGTACTTTACCTGTAAGACATCCAAACTGCCCTGGATTACTGCCTTTCTGCTAGCCTCGAGTGCCACCTGCAAAGAATATTCTTCTACTCCTTGCTTCTGTCCAACTTGGGCTTTAGTGAGGGCATCTGTTAATTAGAAGAGAAATATCAATTAGATAAGACAGAAAAGCATATGCATCATAACAATTCTACTCTCTAAAAAAACACAAACATTTTCATTTTCAGCACTTACTTTGCTTATTACATGCACATTGAAACAAAAAGCAATGACTAGTCAAATTTGAGACCTAATTAATAGAAGAAAACCACGAAATGAATGAAACCCTTAGGTATCTTTACACTGCAAATTCTTTAGAAGTTACTTTAACCTAGAAGCTGTCATCTGTCCCCAGACAAGAAGAATTTAGACTTGCAGGTAAAGAAACAGAGTGAATAACCTGAGATATCTAGTAAAAGCTGTTTAAAAGTGCTGTTAATGTAGTCTTTGACAACAATGCGAGCAGCCTGAAAATGTACACATATCAATACGCAACTTTGATGAAATAACACTACACTCAAGATAGATAGGCATAGAGCAGTAAATTATTGTTCATTTAAGTAAAAACATGAACAAGTAGAACCTGCAAGGCATAATCAGGTAGATCAGCCTCTGGTAACACTTCAGTTATCAAGAGCACATCACTCCAAATCACCCCTGGAAAAAGAAATCTTACAAATTACATTCAAATAAAAGATCAAAACATGAAATGTGTAAATTTGTGGCGTTGGGTCTCTATTATATAAATCATACTTCAAAGAGACTTTTGAAAGAAGAGCTTCTAGGAAGATTCCTGTCAGACTAATAAGCTAGATATTAATCACTGCCTTTATGTAGGGATGGCAGCTGGTCGGGGCGAAGGCTTGCCCCATTTGTTGCCACTTTTTCATTTTTTTTTTTACTTTACATTTTCAAAATTTTGAGTTATACTATTATTAGAGAATAAAATACAAATTCAAAATGGATTTTTAATAGGTGAATTGTCCAAAAATAAATTTTATTTTTTTACTCTTCACGGGCCCAGTTCGTGGCAGCAAGCCCCGCCAACCCGTCGGGGCAGGTTTTTTTAACCATCACTACCTATATGTGTACATTAATGTGGCCAATAATTGTTAAAGAATTTGTGGTGGAAGACCCAAAAAGAACAAGCCCCCATGGTCTGCTACCAGGATAAAGTATTCTGCCCCATCATTCAAATGGTGAAGGCATATGATAATTGTTTATTTTTATTTCTAGATCGGTCTACCAAAAGATTATCATTGACTGCTAGGCACATATCATTCGCTTTTAGAAATAAACATTTGGCAATCTATGAGACAATTTAGCAAGAATGAATGATCTATTAAACACCGTTGCTTTGTTTATGCTAAGCAACAATGACATGCCACATCAATTAATTGATGGATGAGTTTATGGTGGGTCAGATGAATTAAATTAGACGTGTTGAATTGATGTGCCAAGTCACTGTTGCTTAGTAGATCATCAGAAAAAAAATAAAACACTTAAGTGTCATTAATTCGCAGCTCATGATCTCCAGTAGGATTGCTGAAGGCATTAATTTGTGGTCACAAGAAATCATAATTTGTGCCTTTCACAGCCATAAAAGCAGATAAATATCTTCCTTTCTCTCTTAAATTACTGACAATTGTAAGATCTATTTCTGTCTCTACTACTTCAGGTTTCTATATTGGAAAATAATCCATTTCATTCAGCAAATCCGCGGCAAAGGCAAGAAAGTCATGCAACAAATGATAATGCATAATCATTTCCCTTTCATTTCAGTTATGAAATTCTATTAATTGGCAGTCATATTTTTCATACTTGAGGGGCAATCACATGATCACTAATTTCTCCATCTGTCATGACTTTTTGTGTGCCTTCAGTTCTTGTCAACGCAGTTCTTAGTACCAGATCTCCTATGATTTATAGAGCCAATTTTTGTTTCTCATTTTCTTTTTCTCATTTTAGGTAAGCCCTTTACTGCACATGGTCACGTGAATACGGTAAAGATGAAAATGATAATATACTTACCCGTGACTTATGAACCAAAACTATTCGTGCAAGGAAAATTCAAGAAAAATCCAAATACTGAAAAAGGCATTTATAATGTTGGATTTGCAACAATTGATATAATATTGTGGACTTACGAAGGATTGCCAAAAGTTCCACAGAGCGTAACTGCTTAATTTTCTGACGAGTGGCATCAAAATGCCTAATTTTATAGGGAAAACAGAGAAATATTAGTGCAACCAAATATTTTATCATGATCCACTCAGTAGAATGGTGAGATGCCATACTTTGTAACAAAATCTTGAGCAAGTTTAAGTAGCTGTTGTTCTGAATCCAAAAATATAGCTCTATATGCACGAACAGCTTCCACAAATTCGCGAATAGAGGCCTGAAAGTGGATAATGATCGTCCTTGAAGGTCATTCATATGGCAATGATAAAGGTAAAAATGAAAGAAGACCACAAAAACAGCAAAGACATTCATATAGGATCATTTAAACAAGAAAATCTGTGGCCTTGACTTCTTGGAAGACGCAAAAGGTTAAGTTTTCATCTGCCTCAGGATGCAAGAAACTTATAGACATCGATCTGATGCAAATACTCTTCAAAATATGTATGTTAAAAAATTCAAGTACCTAATTTCAACTATCAACCTCAATTCGATTATGGCACCCAAATATACCTCCACAAGTTCATCAAAACTGTAAATCAAAACTAGATGCTGCTTCTGTTTTTCACCTCATGAGCTGCAGAAGAGGCTGAATCAAGAACAGTTCCTTCCTTAGGAGGTTCATTATCATCTGCTGAAGCATTTGTTGGTTCCTTCAATTCATCAAGATGAAGGTTCACAAGGAATTGCTCTAGCTTTTCAAACAGTTTAACCTTCAAATTTATGACCTGTCAGTGCATGGGTAAACAATCAGAGAGTGCACATCAATCTTTAAGGCAAAAATACAGATAATAGACGATTCTTCTCCACATAATTGCATATTAAAAGCTGGCAATCCAGCCCCAAAATAGACTACTGATTCTACATGTGTCAATTTGGTAATTAGACCTCTTTCTTCTAGGAAATTTAAGCCCAGACCACGCCTATCCAGACCCAACCAGTCACGTGTTAAAGTAAAAATCCACTCGCCATGTGAATGGTCTCCCAACTTGCTGTACAACCTACTTACAAGGAATGCTGACTTTGATTGGCTTGAGCCTGGCCAGACCCGGTCCAGGGTATTAATGCATCTAGATGAAATCATGAAAGAGTAGAACATTGAAAAATACAAACCGGGAAATCCAACTGCTTAAGAAGCATCACAGCCTCGGCTCTGGCTTGTATGGACTCCGAATCTGAGAATACCTTCCTCTGAAAACAGTAGTTATTAATGTAAGATATGTCTCTGATTATTATTTTTTTCCTTTAAAAAAGCAACAATTAATAAGAAGGTTTGTTTTCATCTTCCATTAACCCACAATCAATGAAAATAAATTTATTTTGTAAGACGTTACATCCCTTATAGCTCTTCAGCTTAATTCATTTTACAAAACTATGACAAGAATTTTACAATGGTGATTCCAACCGTCTAAAAAAAAACACTAAGAGCCAATAGTTAGTTTAACCAGAAGTTACTTCCTCTGTTCATTAAGCTAAAATAAATTTGTAGTTACTAGAGTACTTACTGATCCACCAATAATGCAATGAAGGTCAAGATTTTACAGAAAAGTAACTTACATGGTTAACAAGTTAATGGATGAAGTATGTGATAACAAATCATATGCATCTGTTTAATCTCTGAGACAATTCAATAAGTAAAAATATAATATTAGAGAGAATTGCAATCTGTCATCAATTGTCACATCTCACCCATCTCAATTCATTAGCTCTGAATTCCATCAGCGAGATGTAACCTAAATAAAATACCCCTCCCCAAATAATGGTTTAACCATTATAGATCACACCCTCTTCAGATAAAGTGGTAAATACCTGCAAATTTTTTATAATTACATCCACTGCTTCTTCTGATGCTCGCTTACATTCCTGAAAGGAGGACTCCCCATATGCCTAGCGATAGAGAAAAGGAATTAATGAGAAATAGAGGCAGACAAGCCTACTGTTGATGATGTAGAGTTCAGCATCATTATCTATACAATGACAAGTAAATAAAACAAGATTGGGCCTCAGCAAATGATAAATCAAGCCTCACAGATAAGTAAGAAGATACCAACCTTAAAAATTGGCATGGCTCCAGTATAAAATTTGACAGCATCAGCGTAGGCTTCTGATTTGATACAATTCTCAAGTCTTGTAGGGAGATCATATATAAACTGCTCTTCCCATGTAAACAGAATTTGGTGTAACTAATTAATGGCCAGAAACAATATTAGACAAATATATAAAATACAGAGAAATAATCACGTCAGTGTTCAATGACAAGTCCAAAATACCAGCAAAAGAAAAATATCTTTTAAAGCAATCCCTTGATTGGAGAATATCTTTTCTCTTAACTTAATCAATCACAATTCATAATTGACAACTGGAATCAAAGTCACAACTGAAGTCTGAAAATGATGAGTTACTCATCTGTTTTCATAAAGATAAGCTTTGTACATTTGGTCATGATTGGATCTGGGATGGTCACCAATTAGAAGTATTCAGCAAGACGCTATTGACATGATTTTTACCAGATTAGTACCTGAACTTTACGGAGAAGATTGCGTGTGCGGTGCAACTTCTCTATATGCTCTCTCTTCTCAAAAAGAGAAGTGTTAACACCATCGCTTTTCGATTGCACAGACATTATCTGCAATGATCAAAGCATTTCCTTTAGTCAACTAAAGCTATTCTTCTAATTTCTCAATTTGAAACTACCAGTCAACAGTGACCATAAAGAATCTTTACCAAACACCTTTTTGAGAAGTTGTTCCATATTTGCTTCCATACCAACAATATTATTTTTCATCCTAGAAAACAATAGGATGTAGTAAGATTGACATCTTACAGGATTAGCAATATGGACAAAGAGAAATGACAAAAATTAACCTTACATATGTCAACAAAGAGTTCAAATTCATGACAAAGGGATAAGAGAGAAAGAATGCTTAAGAAGGATGTTCCTTGCCTCGGATACAGATACTCTAATTGTATGCTCTCAAACGCATATGCTGCAATCCTTTGATCTTACTTTGGACACATTTCGAACACTTTTACAATTTAAGCATGAAAGTTAAATAGATAAAAGAAACCTTACACACATATTCGAAACAGTATCATATTTGAAGGAATACGTAATATCTAGTTAAGATCCATTAACATTAGTTAAAGACAAGAGAAACGATCTTTACTAATGTAAGATATACTTATTTACTGTGAAGTGTGTAACGTTTGACATGATGGGTATAAGATTCATCCGTATAATATAACAAGACTATTACACAAATATTCAAGTGTCAGGAAGGAGGAAAATTTAGTGCATATATACTTGTGTACAAATATTCATTTACAATGTCCCTTACATGTCATATCATCCCTCTTAAAAAAACTGTGTCTGCATGTCCACATTTTGTCATGTACATTCCACCATGAGACTATCTATGCCCCATGAACTGTATATGCTTCTTAGCCTAAGATATTAAAGAAGCCGACAGAAAACATGGACTTTACGAATGCAATCACGTGACATCGTAACAATATACACTTCCTGAGCAGGTAGATTTTTCAAGTGCAATGATATTCTTTTATTCAGTACTAATGAAGGACAAAGTTTGTGTAAACATTGAAACTAGGGGTTTTACCTTTTAATTGTATCAGTAGCACTGATGAACTTGTTGTAATTTTCATATACCAACATTTGCAAGTCAGTATCAAGATTTTTTATTTCAGCAGCCATCTCAACATGCTTCTGAAGAAGATTTTCCAAATTTGACTTTTGTACCTACATCAGCCAGAGCATTAATAAAGTCAATTGTTCGCCAAGATAGGGAATAAAAAGTGACTGCTAAATTAGCTGATTAAATTTACAGAGCCTGAAACATGATTTCCCTTACAATCCTTCGATACAAAACAAAATAAAAAAATACAAAATGAATAAATAAATTAAAATGAAGGAGGAGGAAAAAGTTGAGAAGTGAAGCCTACATTGTAAATTACAAGTTTACCCTACCCAAAACAACCTCATCAAATTCAAGAAGTGACTGCGTGCACCCAGTCTTCTTCGCTTCTCCCTTCCCACCAATAATTTCCCCCAAAAATCTTATAGCCCCACTCCAGAACTACTTACTTCAAGCCACCTTCCACCTCCCCGCCACCCCTTCTTCTATGTTATCTATTACTGACACTACCATTTTTCCTAATTACAAGAAGGAAATAGAGAACAGAAGGTTTTGGACCCACCAAGCCGACATGGTAAAAATGACCCCTACTAGAATCAACAAGTTGACCAAATCAAAGTCTCGCTATCCGGGCGAGTCTCACCCCAGTACAAAAGCATAACTATCAAGCCCATAACACCCAAGGTCATTAGCGAGTATTGTCGAGTTACAAGGACCCAACTTTTTCTATGGAAACCTAGGTCTTGGAAAAGGACATTGCATGCTTGTCAGGAGATGTGACCACTATATCCCTCATAGAAATTATGATTTATGAGTCTAACTTGGGGAATAAATGTTATAGTCCAAAAAAAAAAAACCTAACATGTTTATATGGATTTTGACTTCGTATATAACTTAAAGAGTTGTCCATGTATTATGCACCTCAATTAACCTTCCACCTCTGCGCACCCATCCACCCAAGAAAAAAATACACACAGTCCACACGGTTTTTTACACCCCACACCCGCCCACTTCTGCACAGAGTTTTGGGTTTGTATTGCATACAATGTCAATCAAATTTAAGTCAACATCAGGAGGACTCGCTGTCAATGAGGAAATTAAGAAATCCCTAGATTAATAAAGAAACTAAGTTTCTTCCACAATTACATTGAAATTTATTCTACCAGATTGCAGGTATCCCCAGTGGTGGCAGGATGAGTGCACTGGTATAGAGGTATATGTGCGAATTAGAATAGAAGGACAAAAAGAAGATGAGTTCCTTCTCCAAAGTTCTTTCTTTTTGAAATTGTGACCCCATATTTCCAAACGTCTCCATGAATAATGCTTCATGAGTGAGTTAAGTGTGATTCTAATGGCATTTTCTATGTTAAGAAAATGAGAATGAAATTTTACCTACAGGATGGCAACTATAAGTGTAATAGTCCTTAAAGCATCACAACATTTGTTAACTACGCCAAATTAGCTTAAAATATAACCCTGTGAGATAGAGTGAAACTGTCAATTTCTAGTATATGTCACCACTAAAATGAGATAAAAAGTGCAAACTTAGTTTCGTCTCTTTCTTTTTTTGCAGTAACTTCAGAATAGCTACAAGTCAAAATTCCTAAATTGGTCCCCTAGCATCTTTCCAAAGGACAATTGTGCCATCCTACGAATCCATAATCCATCAAGTCGCCATTTGATGGGGGAGGTTGACATCAAGTCATTAAGCGAGAAATATACTTGATTACGTCCGAAGCGACAACTAAGTTGTTCAACATTGCAGCAATTACCCAATTACTGTGGATGTATAAATGCATGTGTGCGCACTCGGGGGGTACAGTGTGAAGGTGGATTAACTAGCTGTGGTGGTGGCAACACCACCCATCTTAAAGAGTGATTTTGTCATAGCATATCCATTAAGGAACAAATACCTAAAAGACAGGTTAAAGAATGCCAAAGTTCAAAGTAAATCAAAGAAGGCTTAGAAAACAACCGTGTGAATTTGCGATTAATATGTCCTCAAAAATCAATAATATGATAGACCAGAATCTTTGTTCCTGGAATTCTCACTACTATAGTCATCTAAAGATTATCGAACCCTTGTGGTTTCGAACGCAAACATAATGCTCCATATTTAAGATGACTACTTCCATAAAGAATAATTAAAAACTAAATAACCACATGTGAATCAACAAACTTCTTAGCGAGATAATATAAACTGGACTGAATTTAAAAGCGAACGAGCAATCCCAAAAAAAAAAAAAACGAGAGAGAGAACGAATAAGGTGCATACGAGAAGATTCATGTACAGATCGGCGTCGAAAGAGGTGGTGTTGATGGTGTCGAGAGTAGCAAATCTTGACGAGGAAGAACTGTAATTCTCCAAGGATGATGCATTAGATGAAGAATCTGGAGAGTAGAAGCTCGATAACAGATCTCTCATTCTCTTCGCCTTGTCGTCAATCTGCACTCCTTCTTCTACCTCCATTTTCACCCCTTTTCGAACTGATTCTACAATTTCTAAAAGTATACTAATTTGTTTCGTGAAGAACTCCGTGCAAGATCTAACGGATAAGATAGCCCCCGGCGAACTCGAGCGCGGAATTGACCGATCAGATTTGGTGGACGGAAGAATACTGTCGAGTAATTCGACGTCGTTCAACTGGTGGTGTCCGAGGCTGGGAATGTAATGTGCAAGTTTACCATTCAGGACAGATTTTGGTTAACCGTAACAGCGGTACCCCAAACTTCACACTAGCACCCTGTTTGGCCCCCATTACCTGAAAATGGTAATGGGGGGAATAGTATTTTTTAGAAAAATGAGTGGTTGAAAAAGAAGGTAAAGTTTTCGATTTACGTGTAATATTATTTTATAGAAGATTGTATGGTTGAAAATAGGAGAGAGAAAAATGGAATGTAATGTAATGTAATTTAATGTTAATCAAACAGGGGCTAGGTCGCTAGACTTCAATTGATTCGAAATTGAGTCACTTAATCCCTCGTTTGTCATTCATTATTTTTTTTTTACAAGACTCATTTTAAAATAATATTATAAGCAAATTAAAAAAAAATTCTTTCTTTTTCGATCACACATTCTCCATCAATCACTATTCCATAAGTCAGTTCTTCAAATTAATGGGGCTCACATAGGGCCTAAATTTAAAAGTAATTAAACTACTTTAAGACCATTTGGCATGAATTTTGAAAAGTCAAAAGAAATTTTTAAGACTTGTTTTGTTAATTTTATTAAAGTACTTCTTTTAATTAAAATTTTTTTTTAGAGGAACTCTAAAAGAATTTTTGAAAATTCTTTTAAAAATGAATTTTCAAACAAAAATTAAGCTAGTTTCGTCCAAAAACAAAAGTCATACCAAACTTTGTGCAATTTAACAACAATTATAACTAACAATAAGTCGCTCCTTCATAAATTGATGTTTAAATGTAATGGACGCGTCGAAAAATATCCACCGGGATGAAGACATGAAAATTAAATCGTCAAATCTGTTACGTCTTCCAATGATGTCCATATTGAGTGTTTTAATTTTTGTTAATTAGGTAAAATTTTCGATTTACGTGTAATATTATTTTATAGAAGATTGTATGGTTGAAAATAGGAGAGAGAAAAATGGAATGTAATGTAATGTAATTTAATGTTAATCAAACAGGGGCTAGGTCGCTAGACTTCAATTGATTCGAAATTGAGTCACTTAATCCCTCGTTTGTCATTCATTATTTTTTTTTTACAAGACTCATTTTAAAATAATATTATAAGCAAATTAAAAAAAAATTCTTTCTTTTTCGATCACACATTCTCCATCAATCACTATTCCATAAGTCAGTTCTTCAAATTAATGGGGCTCACATAGGGCCTAAATTTAAAAGTAATTAAACTACTTTAAGACCATTTGGCATGAATTTTGAAAAGTCAAAAGAAATTTTTAAGACTTGTTTTGTTAATTTTATTAAAGTACTTCTTTTAATTAAAATTTTTTTTTAGAGGAACTCTAAAAGAATTTTTGAAAATTCTTTTAAAAATGAATTTTCAAACAAAAATTAAGCTAGTTTCGTCCAAAAACAAAAGTCATACCAAACTTTGTGCAATTTAACAACAATTATAACTAACAATAAGTCGCTCCTTCATAAATTGATGTTTAAATGTAATGGACGCGTCGAAAAATATCCACCGGGATGAAGACATGAAAATTAAATCGTCAAATCTGTTACGTCTTCCAATGATGTCCATATTGAGTGTTTTAATTTTTGTTAATTAAATTCATGTGATTTTATTTTCCGAAATTAAACTTCAATTGTATAATTGTAATGGGATAAAAGTTGGGTTGGTACAATTGACTAACTCCTTGTGGACTGTCACATATTTAGATATTGGATAATGTTATTTGCAGTCGCTCACTACCGTAATCAACCTATATGACATATATGTGACAATTAGTGTTTGATGTATGACAGGAAGCGATTGTAAATAGTATTACTCTTAGACATTAGTCTTACCAACACTCATAGAAATGGTGTGGTTAATTACGACTAAATTGAACATAAATAACTTGATTGTAATTGAAGTTCAATGATATAATTGCAAGTAAGGTAAAAAATTGATGAATGCCTATACAATTAACCCGCTTAGATTTTTAAAAAATTTAAGAGATAAAAGGAAAATAACGGTGAGGACTTCATTTTTATCCTTAACCCTTAAAGCAAACCATTTTTATCCTCTACTTTGCAAGCACCCATTGTCCCGCTGGACAATGTGAAACAATTATTCCATGTGTATATAGAAAGAAGTCACAAAATGTTTGCTCTCACATGGGGGTTGGCCCCGTGTTAAAATATAAAATTAATAATAATAAATAACCACCCACCCCTTTTTGTGTCTTCTATGTAAGACTTCTATGAGTTTTTTGTTTGTACATGTAGTATGCTCCAATGTGAAAAGCCCCATTAAAGTAGCACATGTCAAATTTATTTTTATTTTATTTTTAATGTCAACCTAGTACTTTTTATTGCAATAAATCATTATACAACACGAGAGATAAATGTGGAACCACTGCAGGAGTAGCAAAAGATGCAAACGTATTGACATTTTATTCTCATTGCCAAGAATAAATCGATACAAGCCACAATTGGTAGTGTGTAAAAAAGCTACAAATGTCGAAGTAAATAGAAGCACCTTAGTTATTCAAGCATATTGGTATTTTCTAGACACATCAAGCATCCAAGGGCAAGAGCACTTCTTCAATCAGAGGCCTTTTCCAATCACCAGCCCTGTAATAAGATCACTAGCTCAGTGAACCTGTTCTTCTGTGGTGTGATTGACGGACAAAAATGTCATAAGTCATAAAAGTCGTTGATCTTCAAATATATGAACTGAATCGAGTAATGCCATTTGTCATTACTTATGGCCATCATTATGTTTAGATTGTATTTAATGATAGGTCCAATAACATGGGTCTATCATTTAATATCACTTTGTTAACACATAGAATGATGATAGTCATTAGTGATGACTCGTTGCCTCAATCCATTCTTGACCCATTTTCAATCCCATAGGATGCCCTTCAAAATAAGGAAAGGCCATGTTTGTATTTTGCATAGAAGAGATCACAACCACAATCATACTTTTCTCTTAAGAAGCCACGTTAGTTCGAATTGGAGAGTTTTAGGGGCGGGTCAATTAAAATCATGTGAAGTTTATGAGAGTCTTTCTTATTTATATAAAGTTCACAAGTGAGTTGAATAGAAACTTATGAAGATTTGAAGTAATTCTTGAGGATTTACCATTCTTTTTCATTTCATCTCTATTTTTACTTCAGGTAATGTTGTTTTTAAATATTCTGTGTTTAAATGCTATGAATATGACCAGCTAAAATTCTAGGCAGGACAATGATATAACCTATTTTTTATGATTTAATTTCTATTAGATTTTGGACACTAAAGTATATTCGTATACTTTTATTTCTCGTTTATTGGATTTAATGTCTTTAAATACTTGATCACTATTTGAATGATCCGTGATGAATCAAGATAAGACATACAAATTTAGATTGAAACAACGAAAATCATAAAAGGATATGAGATAGAAACATGCTTTTATAGTTTGTGTGGTCGAGTAAGAATTTTTTAACGTGTTTAGAGGTAGTATTGACTTTATTCGAGAGAAACTATCAAATAAATCAAGAAAAAACGATTGACTGCATGAGTGTATAATGTCAAAGTATAAAAAGTGAAATTGAATTAAATAAACTGAAGTGAAATTATGAAGTTGTAACATTTTAGTTATATTGAACTATCAACTTAATTTTACTAGATTTTTGGTTATGAACACTTCATTAATTGACTGTTTAGCTAAAATTGGGATTGTCGATTTTGATAGTTAACAATACCAGTATTGTGACAATGTTGACCTAAGTTCTCAATATGGATCCTTAGGAACCATCAATAGTGTGGTGGCCTCTATTTGAGCGAAAAATGGCATGTCATCCACTACATGTCATGATATCGTGCATTTACGATTTTCACGAACAATAATAAAAAGGATTTTTTTAATGCATACGTTGAATTTGAGCAATACGGTTTTTCACATGAGATAATGATCATAATGGGTCGATTTAGATGATTTTTATTCAGTTGATCATTAAAATTTAAAGTGTTTGAATTTTTTATTTTAAAAAAATGTAAAATATCCTTACTTTAGTTAAATAGCTAAAAAGAAAATAAGTGAAAAAAAAATTTAAAAAGAAAAAGAAAATACAACATGTCCAACTAACCAATCCTCCAGATGGCACCACTACAATGCAATTACCTAAATAGACAATATTCTGAAAGTCTCTGGACTCCGACATGGTTTCAACGTCGAAAAATGAGAAACGCGGCGAAGTTAGTTACGATGGAACGTACCTCAAGGGAGGCTAAATATATTCATGTCTATTACGAAAAGAGAGAAAAATAATAATAATAATAATATAAGAGTTAAAATTTAAGTGTGTATTATTAAAAATCAATATCATATATTTATAGGGTCCAAAATAAAAGTTACAATTGAAATAAAATAGATATTCTAAACTAGATATGACTTATCAATATATCATGACAATACTAAATAATCATCAATAATTTGCACAATAACTATCTTAGTGAAATTTTATCTAGTAAAAAAATTCGATGGGACAAAAATGCTAGTAAATGAAAAAAGAGTACAAATCATTTGAAGTAATAAAATGTTGCCTAGTAAAACCTTGTCAAAAAAGCTCAATAGGACAAAACTTGATCGAAGAAAAAATAGTACAACTACTCCCCTTAATTTTAATTCTTGTATCAAACTATCCATGTCTCATACATCAACATCTTCAATATTGCAATTTTTTATAAAGTATGTCTCATATTGTCTTGCATAGTTTTTAGATAACACCGTCTTCATATGAGATATTTATCATCATTTACTAATTATAGTAACATAATGATTAGAAAAAAAGCTCTTGTTGATCTCTTCGAAAGTCTCGTACATATAAGGTATTATTTTGAGGGCAAATATCTTGTATATTCTGGACATTTCTTATACAAAGAATATGATTCATTAAAACTTTATTAGGAAAGTCCTGGTGAGAAAAATAGTACATTCAGGGGCGGAGTCAAAAAATGATGTTAGGATGGGCTGAAACTTAAAATTTTTTTAATGAACTTACGCCACAAGAAATCAGTTTCGGAGGCTATTCTTGTGGCATTCACAATAAAAAGTAT